TCGTGCGCCGTGCCCGTCTTCATGGGTTGCTCGCTAAACAGCACTTGCCCCAACAGTCTATTCAGGCGACACGGGGAATCGTTGTATTTGTAGAACACAATACACACTTCCATGTCAAACTTCTCAGGGCCTCGCCTTACAAGCGTGGATTCGAGCGTGTTTTTGTTGTTGTTGTTGTTGTTGTTGTGATCTCAACACACAAAATGAACACAACAATACAACGCGATGTAAACACCGTGTCCAATGCATTCAGCCACATCCAACGGACACGCGGCCATGCAAATCAGCGATCCACACACGAGAGCCCATTCCGGCCAGTGTTTCGTCGCGTGTTTTATTTTGCATCGTGGAAGGAAATAAGTGGACGATCTTTTCACAAATTGCACACGGAAATAGCAATTATCGTGGCAATCACCACCGTCGTCGGCGTCGTCACCGTTCATGCTCTATCCACCGCTGAATCAAGGCCTATCGCAGGCCACCGCTCGCGGAATTCGGTTTATTGGTGTCGAGACGAGACGAGATCGAGTGTGGCTGGCTGCCCGTTGACTGCACGGCCCCGCGTCGATGTCGCGGCCTTGGTGAAGGTAACGCACCTCGCAAGGGAACCCGACACGGCCGTTGTCGCGCGCTTGCGACAGCATCTCCGTGCAGCCACGACTGACACCAAATGCACAACTTCATAGCGCAGTGACTAACACGGCGTGATCCATTTGTAGATACCCCGCCCCCCACCACTGATTTCCAAGTCGCCCTCTGAACATTATCGTTCCCAACACGGCCGATGGAACATTTGCGGAAAACGACGGTTCCAATATGCGATACAGAAGAGACGGTCGAGAGGTAGGGGGGGGGGGGTCAAGACGGAGCACATTGCAGTGAGATCGGTGGGGCACAGGGTCCGGCCATAGGGGCAAATCACTGTGTGCCCCCTTCACCTCCGTCGCCCCCCCCCCAAAGCGCGGGGCCCGGGGCGGTCGCCTCGATTCGCCGGCTTTGGTTGTAGACGTGGAACTAAATTGATTTAACAACAACATCGCTACTTCATTTTGTTGGGGTATCTATAAACGGATCGCCCTGTGTACACTGGATATGTAACCACGTTGTTTTACGACACTGCCGTGGCACGAGCATAAAGAACTTAAACACAAACTCGGCGCGATTGTCAATGACGCTGCCCTAAATTGGAATTAAATATATAATCGGCGACGTTTCGGCTAATGGCCCCTTCCTCGTGGCATTGTTATCGTCATTTGCACCACTCTACAGGCAAATTGCTCCAATAGATATCTGTTTTACTCGCAAAAGAGATACGCAGATAACACGCGACTCCTAAACACACCCCGCCTGTCCACATACATAGAGCGACGTGCCGTGCACAGGCGTCCCTCTGTAGGCAGCCCACGGCTGTCTGGCAAGTGCATGGTTCAAGCAGCACGTGGAGTCGGTGTGGGCAAACCTCTGGACCGAGTAGGACATGTATGACAATGTATGAGACTGCTCATGGGAGGAAGCGTCGTTGTCTTTGTTGCTCCCCCAACATCAGATGGGAAAGGCTCGCTCGAACCAACGTTGTTTGTTAGTCGTTGTTGTTGTTGTTGACGGTGGACGGGGGGGCAGTTGTGTAAATTGTTGTAACCGTGTGCGTGATGGGGGTTGGGGCGGGGGGCTCACAACACAGCGATTGAGTTGTAGCCACCAGCATTGTTCGCACCCCCACCACCACCACCACTATAGCATTACCCCCCCCCCCCCTTCTCTATCCACCCGTCCAGCCCACTAACCCTCCCAACTCCTAAACGTCGTCTTGTGGCCCGTCCTGTGATCCATTACCGATGTAATAGCTCCCCCGTGGTCACCCATTACAACACAATAAACACCCATTACGCCGTGTTCCGCCCGCGACCTGGGTGGGCCGACTCGGCCCGCGGTGTCGGCAGCGGCAAGTCTCTCTGCACCACGAGGGGTCCGCCCCCCCCCCCCCCCCCCCATATGGAGGCTCTGAGTGAAAAGAGATTTTAAAACACTCCTGCATCCTCATCCCACCTCCCACCCTCCCTCCCTCCTCAGTCCAATTGTTGAGAGCTACTACGGAATCAAGGGTTGACACTTGCGCTGAAAGTGGATGGATGGATGGGGTGGATGCCTCCCACAAAAACAAAGATCCCCTGTATAGCCTTAACAGACTGTTGGGGCAAGTGCTGTGGCACCTATGAAGGCCGGCACGTCACTGGTGTTGGCCGTGGGCGGGGTTATAGCTGGCAGGACTGCACCGACACATTTACACCCACACGGGCACAAGAGATGTCACGACTCTACGAAATGTCTAGCCGTGATTTTGATTATTACAATATGAGAAAATATAAAAATGTATTGCCATTTGTCAATCCACTGTTGAATGAGAGGCCTTTTCCACAGTGAGGGTTGTTTGACCATACTTCACCACGTTGGGTCAATGCGGGTTATTGAAGCGATGCTCATGAGTCGAGCATCGAATTGTCCGTGGGTGCCGCGGTGGCAAGGAGATGTTAACTACCTCGCCCAGTATACAGGAGGTCGTGAGTTCGATGCCGACACTGATGCCTGCTGTATATTTGGAGTTTGCGTGTCCCTCTCTCCCCGTGGTTGCGTGGATTCTTCTCCGAGTCCTCCGGTTTTTCCCTCCACATTTAGAATCAACATCACGCGTTTACAGTATTTGGCTGCTATACATTTAAACACGACAAGCCACTTCGTTGAGCCACCGGTTGTGGCCGGGTTGCTTCTGACAAAGAGCTAACATTAGCTCGGTGGGACTTACCTGGTGAAATAAAAAGTAGTTTATGGTTGAAATAGTTTTATAGAATCAGGAGTTTGTGGGGTTTTTTTTTCACTGAGCAGAAAGGAAACGCCCGATTTAGCAAACCTTCATTCGGCGTATCGCTAAGAGAGAGAGAGAGGCGGCTGCGTAGATGTGGATTAGAGTGGACGCCAATCAGTGGAAATGGGTGATGGCCGTTGGTCAAGCCAAAAAGCGGAGTGGCAGTGATTGGAGAGAAAGTATCGAGCAAATGACATTGACTCGATCAGCACGGTTAGCTATGTACCGTGCAAAAGTGCAAACATACATACACGTCTTTGCGGGAACTGGATTGATTGTTACATCGCAAGGGAGGTGTGCGTATGCATGGTGAACTTCTTTCGCACCGCACGTAGCCATGACTGATGATGATGACTGATGATGATCATGATCATGTACTCCTGTACGGATGATGTGGTGGGAGGGGGCTTCATTCAGCAGTGGATAAGGCATGAACAATGGCACTCTGGGTATGGGGCACACCTGGGTCACCTTTGCACAAGGCATTTGAAATCTCAAAGAGTTCTCACTTTGTAAAATAAAGTGTAATAACTATACCCAATAAATTCGTATGAAAATGGGGTTTCACTATGTATTATATATATGGATTCATATTCTATCAGTACTTCAAACGTGCCCTTATTTGGATTAAACGCTTTAATTCACTTCCCAAAACATGGGCTATTTCATAAAGAATTATTCAAAACAAACGAGGCTTATGGGAAGAGGATGTGTGTGGTTGAATTCTTCATGATTGCGTTCTTGAGTGTGGCGTCATGATGCGGAAAGCCCAGGTTGTGTTGCAAGCCCTATCAAAAGTTAATGTGTGGTGAATATATCTGCAGTGATGAATATTGCAATCTTGTGTCGTATTTTAATGGTGTATGGTCTTATTGTAAGGCACTGATTGTATTGGATGAGTGTAGCAATGTTAGATTTCTAAATGCAGGGTAACCCAAAAGTCAGGACATACAGGCTTATTTCATTTATTTAACACTGGCATTAAAGAGTTTAAATTATTTAATATTTAAGTTAATATTTTATCAATTATCAATATCTACGTTACTTTGTCTTTTGGGGTCACCCCAAATCCATAATTTTTAAAACTCGACCAAGAACCCTCAATAATTATACCTGGAATATTTTTTGAAATTCATAAATTCAGTTTAACACGCAGTTGGCTTTCGCGACCAATATCATCCATAATTGAGTTTTTTTTAGTGAGATCGCGTAAATATTTAAATTAATTTTAAATGAGAATTCATGCATCGTGCATTAATCACCCGAGTGTCCTGATTTTTTGGCCACCCTGTATATGGCGTCATGATTTTAGAAGACTCCACGCTTTGTAATTCGCACTTCTTGTGAGCTGTGTTTGTAATTTAACTCCCCTATTACAGGGACATTTCAATATACGAGACACATACAATCTTTGAACGAATGCCACGCTTTATAAATGTTCCAAGAGAGTAAGTGTGTGTAGATTTGTCCACATTCAAACGCACAAATGACACGCGTTAGGAGATGCATGTCAGCTGGGCTAATCACGCACACGCAAGTTGTTAAAGGCACTGCGCTTATGACCCTGACGACCCGAGTTCGATTCCAGGCCCGCAGCCGACACCAGTGGCGAGTGATACATGAACTGGTCGGGGCAAACCCCTAATCCTGTAACCCCGTATCCCCGTAACCCAGAGCGGGTTGGTGAATATGGTAACGTGGAAGTTCCAATGCCTTGCGCCACATCCAATCTGCTCACATTTGTGAACATTCTTTGTTTAAAATTTCATTATGAACGCATTAATTAACTTGTCACCAACCCACACTGACCGACGTGGTGAAGAATGGTCAACCAATCAGCGTGACCGACATCGGCTGTCAATCATCGGCACCATCATCACCGTTACGCATTATCCATCGGTGCTGCGTATGTTAAACACAAGCAACATAGCATAAACGTGTTTATTTCTAAAAGTTTATCCGGCCGTTGCATCGTGGGCATTTTGGATCGGTCACGATGGCTTTGGGGGAAGCCTTCATCCAGCAGTGGATCATTGACCACGGCTGATGACGATGATGCTGACGGTTAAATCAGCTGTTGCGTTAAAAGCCTATTATTCCGACAGTCAACCCAAGCACACAGAAGCACATGTGTCCGTTCAATCAGATTATTTATTCCATGCGATGTCAAAACATTGGGTGATGTTTGTTTTTGTTATATATATTTTTCTGTTATCTCTGACAAGTTACATTTTCTCAGATCATTGACTCCATTGGGGAGGACATCCGAACCGGTTGTTTGAGCAGACTGCAACAAAATAAGTTAAATATATTACATTCGTGAAAACGACGGTAAGAGGAGGGGTGTGAAACTAGCAAAAAAAAAGTGCACCAACAGCTTCGGACAGTCGGAAGGCGCGACTCAAAAAAAAACTAATTCAGAACGGCATCATCTCACATCAAATAACTTTTTTTTTCAACAATCTGAATGTTTAAGAAGACAATCTTTAGGCGGGTTTACCAAACATTCCAATTCTGGGATCACGGAGCCATCGGGCGTTTGTTGGCGTCGATTCTGGGCTGCCTTCTGAAACATGATCTGGGTGAGTGAGTGAATGAAAATTGTGCGCGTTAAAATATTTTAAATTGTTGCTGATGAGATGTTGTTAATAATTTAGAATCGTTCAACCAGCCTCGACGAGCGTTTTTCTCGCAGTCGAAATTTGACTTTTTGGTGAGCGGTGGCACTGTGGTTAGCACACTGTGTGCTTAGACCGCCGGCCAGCTGAGTCCGATTCCCAGCTGGGGGCAAACATCAGTGGCGACTCCTCTCTGAATTGGTCCTACGAGCCTCGGGGGTTTCGCTCAACCCTCGCACGAGTATGGGTCGTGCAGCTCCATGACTGATAGAGCATGGGGGAGGCTTTCATCCAGCAGCGGATATAGGCAAATAAGTCGATTATATTGGTAAAAATAACAATAATGACAATAATCGTTATTATATCTGACTTTTGAGTTGTCCGTTAAACTGCCCGAATCACTTAATTGATTCGCCTGATCTTGTTTTCAGAGTGCAGTATTATTATGTTTTTGTTAATATATATAATCGCGTATTTTTATGGGGATAAAATATTGCTATGACTGTAAAAGCTGATATGTGGACAATTCGTTTAAGGAAGTCTGCTTTCGACCAAAAAATATCTTTTGTACATCTCTTGATTTAAAAAAACACACTCCAAACTCTTCCGATTTTGCCTCTTAGCAACAACAACAACAACCTATACACTCTGTACACGCGTTGGCATGGTAACAGCATACAACCCATCAAATCTCGACACACTACGGGGAAATTATATTAACGCATATCAAAACAAACAAAAGAAAACCCAACAACAATATCTTAAATATGTAAAGACTAACCTGTAAACAATATTACGGCGAATTAATTAAGCACTACACAACTGTATATGTATGTATATATATACAAGACGGCGCTATTTAATTAAGGACACGTTATTTTACGGGAGAGAAAGAAACACGATTTAACAATTAATATTAACAGAACGTATAACCTATCTTTCGGGGGGGGGGGGGGGGGGGAGCTCATAAATATCTATAGCTAATTTCACCTGAACTTATTAAAGCTGGAATGTGATGACATCGATTCTCACACATTGGTTCTGTCTTTGTGTGTGTGTGTGTGTTTTTTTTAATCTGACATGCATTGTCGTCTCCAGGGCTTAACTTCAGCCGAGACAGTTGGAGCTGTCCTGGGCTGAGCTCCGGAAAATATTTAACATTTCCCCCCCCCCCTCTCCCATCTACAACTAGACAGAGGAGGAGGAGGGGGGGGGGGGGGCGAAAGGATGTCTGGGGGTGGATGGGAGGAGGTGAGGTCCAGGTGGTTGGGTCGGGTAGAGGAGGGGGGCGCTCTGAACAAGTATTCCATGACAAAATTAAAGCCCTCGTCATCTCTCGCCCCCCCACCCCCCCTCCGTTTTGCCTTCACGTCCAATTAAGAGGAATTCATGAGCGGCCTTGAGTACACACCTTGGTAGTACGCGTCGCTGCCAATCACAGTGGGTTCCATCACCCCCTTGCTCTGCATTCCTCCCATTGCCAGACCTCCGCTCATGGGCGACCCGTAACTCGAGTATGGCATGCTCTGCTCGTACGACTTAAAGTCCAGCTTGTGCTGCTGTTGTTGCTGCTGCTGTTGCTGCTGCTGCTGCTGCATCATCTGCTGCTGCTGCTGACTGGAGGACATGAGGCTGGTGATGGAGAAGGGGTGGCTGAAGTAGTTGGGATCGACCTTGAGGTGTGCGTGAGTGTCGACGAGCACGTGCGGCGGCAACAGGGGACTCGTCAGCGAATCCTGTTGCATCATCGCCTGCTGCTGCTGCTGGTGCTGCTGCTGGTGGTGGTGGTGGTGCTGGTGGTGGTGCTGGTGGAGCTGGTGAACGGGAGATGGCGTGTGCTGATCGGACATTGGGCTCAGACGGGACGGCTGCTGCTGCTGCTGCTGTTGCTGCTGCTGCTTGAGCTCGGCCATGGGAGATCTCTGCTCGCCCATGGAGCCGTGCGGACTCGACATTCCGACATTGTCATCGTCGGACAAATGTCCGGCACCTCCGCCGCTCTGGGCCGAACCGCCGCTCGCAGCGCTGCCACCGCCACCGCCGACCGAACCTCCGAGCACGGGCGAGCTGGTCGGACTCCGGCTGCCGTCCTGGGGCATCTTCTGCTTCCTGTCGCACTTGAAGCGCTTCTGCCGACGCAGGTAGCAGCCGTTCTCGAACATGTTCCCCGAGTCCGGGTGGAGCGCCCAGAAGGAGCCCTTGCCCGGCTTGTCGGGCGAGCGCGGCACCTTGACGAAGCAGTCGTTGAAGGAGAGCGAGTGGCGGATGGAGTTCTGCCAGCGCTGCTGGTTCTGCCGGTAGAAGGGGAAGAGGTCCATGATCCACGAGTAGATCTCGTTGAGGGTCATCATCTTGTGCGTCGACTGCTGGATGGCCATGGTGATGAGCGAGATGTAGGAGTACGGCGGCTTGGCGTGCGTGTAGTTGCGCCGGTAGACCTTGGAGTCGCGCGCGCGGTTGGCGAGGTTCGCCTGCCCGTAGCCGCCCATGGGGCTCACGGCGGCCCCCACGCCCGGCCCGTAGGCCCCCAGAGCCTGCATGGAGCCGGCCTGAGCACCGAGGCCGCTCATGCCGGGGCTCGCCGCGCCGGCCACCCCGCCCAGGCCGCCGCCGAGGGCCGTGACGCCGCCGCCGCCGCCGCCGCCCATCGGCACGGGCCCTCCGGCCATGCCGCCCATTGCCGCAGAGCCGGCGTGCAGGGCAGCGCCGCCCGTGTACGACGGGACGGAGGGCAGAGCCCCCGAGCCTCCCATGGACGTCATGGACATGTAGTTCATGCCGGCCATGCCGCCCAGCCCCGAGTTCATGGACGCGACGGTCGGGTAGCCCTGAGCGGAGGGAACAGCAGCGGAGTCAGACTCGGGTGACGCGGCATCGGCATCGAGGACGAGCTGTCCCCGGGCACGCTAAGCCGCGAGTGGCATCAGACAGATTTGTTCAGTCAACGGGTCAGCGGTGGAGTGTTCGTGGCATCCATAGGTCTACTACGACTGCTGCTACCGTGGGTGTGTTTTTAAACGTCTGAATTAGCAGCTCCCCGGCACGTGGGGTGAAACGTCGGACATTGCGCGTGGCAGCAGCTCGAAAGCCGCACAGCGGAAGCGCCAACACCCACGCAGTGGAATTCGAGCACGGGTCCATGTCGATGTTAGATTCGTGTTGGTGTCCGGGTTTCTATTTACGCGTGTGCACTATGTGATCCTCCGGGATTCTCAATTCGTCAATGCGATTTGGGGTCTTAACGGGCGCTCTGCACGCGTGTAAGGCAGGGACATCCCCCACACTGGTTTCCACTGTTTAGAAAATCATCAGCAGTGTCGGGCCTGCTACGAAAAATGCAGCTAGATATACGTTTGCCAGGTATTGTAAGGCGAGAGTAGTCCACCAACAACAACAGCCGTAACAGCAGCAGGGCCGAATGCCCAGCGTGGTGAAATATGGTCAAACAACCGCCACCACTAGCATAGCGTGAGGAAGCTCTATGTTATCTAACAGTGGATAACTGACAAAAGGGGGGTGTGTACGCATACAGTGAGACTGCTCGTAACAAAATCTGATTCTAAATAATATATAGCAATTATATATGATAATGCAATATATGGTAGAAATTTGATTTAAAACTAAATTCGTCGATAACAGACTGTTGGGGCAAGTGCTGTTAGCGAGCAAGGCCGGAACTGCACACTCCCTCGTGGCGATGTTTACTGCACACTGCACCAGGTACTCATTCAAGGCTGAGTCGACCTAGGGGAGGAGGCCCAGGACCGGTTCAGATAATCGTCACTGATGTTGGCCGTGAGCGGGAGTCGAACTCGGGGGGCCGGGTTCGTAGCGCATCGCGCTAATCGCTACGTTACCGCTCCCGACACACACACACACACGTATACACAAACACATAAACACATGGACGCGAAAATAATAAATGAATGATCATCACAAACTATAAACTTCACTGCCGACCTGACCTGTTTAACAGCGTTTATGGCCGCTTTAAATAATCATAATAATCGTGTGCATTTCATGCGTAAACGTTTTAATTATAATTGGTGACGATAGACGTTAATGCCAAAAAGGTGGATGCGAATGTTGCTAAGATAACATGACTTTTAATTGTATAATACATCGCGACTTGTGTCAAAAGCCAATGCTCTGTGTTGCTACGTCGTGGTGATTTTGACCATACCTCGCCATTCTGTGCCGGCCAGTGCGATTTGGGAGAAAATTCTGACCATGTATATATACACACACACACCATACAGCATATATAGATTATATAGGCGGCAAATTGTCTTTGTTTTTATGACAATATGACTCACACATGCGGATGTAGTCCGCGTGGTTAATAGGATGTCGTTTTATGCCTTCCGAGATGACGCTCGCTCCCGTGTTTAAAGTTAATTTAGTTTATATTTATTTAACGGTGAATCGTGGTACGGATTAATTGAGCGGAGGTTTAGCTTTACAAAGAACGGGGAGGTATGGTAATGTTGTATTTGTTTGTTTGTTTAGGATCATTGAGCGTCAATATTTAACATTCGCCGAAACACGCGCACACGCGCGTGCACTGATCGTACCCTAAACTGAACTCAATCGCGCGACTCGTGTGAGCTCATGGATATCGGGGCAATAATGAGGGCGATCATTCATCTGTACATAACCCCACTCGTCTCGAAAGGCGCTCTCGACTCTTTGTCCAGACCGGTGATTTATATACTGTATATGTACTATACGCGCCTTGAGACGAGAGCAAAGACGCGCAGACAGACGCTTTGAAAGAAATGTTTCCTCTTCTCGACCATGTTATTTTCATCATTTTAGCGGGGTATCTATAAATGGCTCATCATGCACGCTTTATAATGATCTGTAACCTTAATCAATCTTAACCAAAATGCGCTTTCCGTACGTTTGGTAAAACTAATCTCATTCGTGTGCGGATACGCGCTGTGCTCTAACGCTCACGAGCGCGCATTAAGACCACGAATTTGTGTGTATTTATATTTACAGTATTCATACATATATATACATATTTAACTTATATATTTCAGAGGCGATTTCGTACATCGCGCACAGGTCGACGATTCGTGGTTGGGGGTATCGAGGAGACCACTGTCTCATCCAGCAGTGGAGTAGGTCACGCCTGCTCAAGGTGGATTGTTGACGATGTTGAATCTCGACATAAAATCCCCGCTAAACGAACTCGCAGGTCGTGCCGACATTTCTCGCAGCGCTCCCGCCGCAGCGCTCCGTACGAAGATCGCACTGATGTCCAACAGCCGAAACCTCACCTCGGCCGGGTCGCTGTAGTAACTGCTCCACTCCAAGTCGTGTCCTTCCATCTTAACGGGGCTTAGAAGCGCGGGGGAGCTGTGCATGCCTGACCGCGTCAGCGTGGAAGCGTCCTGCAGTCCCAGACGCGTCCCTGTGGTCAGCCTTGCGAAGAAGCTCGCCTCGGTGGGAGTTGGGAACGAGTTGCTTGGTGGGGAGGGGAGCGGCGGGTTGGTTCGGGGCTTGAAATCGAGGCGCTGTGCCCGCGACGCGAGAACAGATGGGGGAGAAGGCGCACCGGGCTTGTCTGTCGAGCAATGCGAACGGCTTAAGACCACGTGAGAAGCATCGACTTGGGTCGAGCCGCCGCGGCTTGCTGCTGCTGCTGCTGCGTAAAGAATCTCTGAGCCAAGCCAAGCGCTCGTCAGCTCGCGTGTATTTCCCCCGTATGAAGGTTGGTCTCCTTATACAGGGGTGGGCGTCCACTCACTCCGTCTGCACACCTCCCCCCACTCGCCCCCTCCCTCCTCCTACACCCACACGCCCCCTCCACTACTCCAGCAGCACCCACCCACCTCCCACTTTAATAGCGAGCGCCGAGTCCTGTCGCCTCTCATTCCATCCACTCACCTTCCACGTCACCAGCACGGTGGGGGGGCGGCGGCGGGGGGTAGCCTCACGCAGAGTAACTCCTGCACGTAGACGTCTATCCCGCCCCCCTCTCTCACCCTCCCCTCTCTCCCTGTGCCACACCCCCTCCCCTAGCCCCACCACATTTCCCACCGCTCACCCCCCCGGTTCACCCCTTCGTGTGTGTCCGTGTGTGTACCTGTGGGGAGCGGTAGTGTAGCGGTTAGCGCGCTGCGCTATGAACCCGGCGTCCCGAGTTCGATTCCCGCTAACGGCCAACACCGGTGACGATTATCTGAACCGGTCCCGGGCCTCCTCCCCTAGGTCGACTCAGCCTCAAATGAGTACCTGATGCGGTGTGTAAACTTCGCCATTAAGGGAGACAAAGGCGGCCGGGCGTGGTGGTGCTGGTCACCCACCCCCAGTCGTGTGCCGTTCCGGCCTTCATAGGTTGCTCGCAAACAGCACTTGCCCCAACCGTCTGTTAAGGCTACACGGGGGATCTGTGTCTTTGTGTGTACCTGTCAGACGTGATGAGACACGCTCGCTCGCTCGCGCACGCAGACGAGGGCACCCCCACGAGGCCCTCTACAGCACCGCGACTCGCACTGCAGCCAGTGACCAGAGTGCGACGTTTTGAATAGAAACACGCGCAAAATCAGTCGTCGATCACACGTAGGCTTTCGCGACCAATTTCATCCATAATAGAGTTGTTTTGGGTTAGATCGCCTAAATATCTAAATGTCTCGTTAAAACCCGCCACCACTCAACACAGCCAACGAGTAAGGGTTGTCACGTAAACAGGACATGCCAATTCGGTGTGTTGGAGAGCCGAGCCACAACATTTAGAAACGAATTGCAACTAGTTTCATGATGAGGCTAGTTGGAATTACTGGCGAAACGTCGTTCTCAGATTGTAAATGTTGTGGCTTGGCTCTCCAACACACAACCGGTGTGCTGTACTGTTAACGAATTGGCCACGTTCTGTTTACGTGACAACCCTTACTCGTTGGCTGTGTCGGGTGGTGGCGGGTTTTAACGACACATTTATACATTTACACGATCTAACCCAAAAACCTCTATGATGGATTCGTCGATAACACGGTGTGTAGGTGTGTGCCCTTACCCGTATAATTCGTGACGTTTTGGGCAATGGACCTTGTTCATGGCACGCAAGATGAACATGACGGTCGGTCGATCTTCGTAGCACGTGCACTCGCACCTCGGATTATCACGGTTGGTTTTGTACGGTGCGAAAGAAGTTCAACATACGTACACTTAGATTTCACATGCTATGAAGAAGGGTAAATGCTCGAAACGTCGCCTATTCTCTATTTTTGTTACTTTTGATGCCACGGGGTTTTTGACAGATGTGTTGAGTTTTTATTGTTGTTTTTAATTATGCTTGTGCACCGCTGCCAACGCAGGAGCACCAATTGCATTGATACATTTTAATCGGATCAATAATGGCATCAGTAATAAGCATTATGGTCTCGCGGGGTGAATCATTAATTGAGGGCAAACGCGAGCGAAATGCAGCAAACGAGAGGCAGACGAAGGGAAAGTGTGTGACTATAACTAGTATATTGTGTGTGGGTGTGTAAATGAATAATTATGTTAATTCCGGTTGTGTATTCAGAATGTCCAGGGTATATCGCCTGCTATTGAATGTAGATCAGAAACGTTTGGGTATTGACCGAGAAAAAAAATGTTTGTAAAGATAGAAAACACGGCGACAAGTGCGCAAAGAAGCCTTGGCGGAGATGCGTGCTTGGAATGAACCTGGCAGAAAGGTGTCGTGCGCAGAACATTTCATTCACACTGGGGCAATCCGATAAGCTATAAAGCTCTTTTTTTTACAGACGTCCAGTAGACCGCTGAGAAAAGTAAGTGGGGCTTGGCCAGAAGACGGCCCACGGAGAAGAGGTCGAGACTAAGGACGGAGTTACAGCCAAATGAGAACAACACGGCAGACAGAACACACAGAATCATCAGAATCTTTATTTCTCCTGGAGAAATCCGATAAGCTATGAAGCTCTGTTTTCCCCACAGATGTCCAGTAGGGGGACGGGTCAGAAAGTTACAACAACAACCAATACAAAAAAAACGATAGGAGTGCAAAGTATAGGGGAAGCTGCGATGTGGAGATCGAGCGATTTCACATCGTGGTGAAGTATGGTCAAAACCACTTCCATTCACTACGTCACGCGGGCGTGGGGAGGACTTCGTCCAGCAGCGGATAGATAATGGCCAACGATAATGATGACGACGACGAGGTGTTTATTTATTGGGGAAACGCGTCCGAGATGACGTGCACCGGGGAGATGGAGCGACGAGATCCGCTCGCGTGCGAGGAGCCAGATGGTTTGAGATGGGGCCCTTCAATCGACAGTGGAGAGACCATGGTCAATGATGATGTATAATGATGATGAAACTCTAATCGTATCACGTTCCACCGCTTAAAAGATTCGACAATCTCGTGTAAGTCGCGTTCGCCAAAGCATGGGCTCTCGTTCTCAACAAAGCGCAATAAACACACGCGGCCTTCTACACACACTGATTGCTCTTTGCAAACGACCAAACGTTTAATGAACAAAACCAAAAAACCGGGGCTCATAGCAGCAGTTCTCACGATGGGTTTGCACACACAAGACCCATAGCGTACGAGCCTCGTGTGCACAGAGGGTGGGTTCTTGTTTGTAAAGGTGTGGGGAGGTGGTGGCAGCTCACGGCCAACACCAGTGACGATGTATCTGGAACCGGTCCCGGTCCTGTGCCTCCCCTAGGTCGACTCAACCTCAATATGTGTACACGCATGTTGAACGTCTTTCGCACCGTACGGAGGTGCGAGGGGAAGGACAACAAACTACACGCACAAGCAAGCAGTTCCAAGGAAAGTTGGACTCAAATGAGTACAGCACATGGTGCGGTGTGTAAACATCGCCACAGGGGAGACAAAGGCGGCCGGGCGTGGTGCGGGCCACCCCCCCCCCCCCCGTGTGCCATTCCGGCCTTCATAGGTGCTCGCTAACCGTACTTGCCCCAACACTCTGTGTCGGCTAGACGAGGGATCTTTGTCTTTGCATTTGATCCGGTGGCTTCGGAAAAGTCGACTCTGCCTTCAAATCGTAGCTGGGTGCGATTCATGTTAATGTCAGCACGGGGAAAGACAAAGGCGGCCGGGCGTGGCGTCGGTCACGCCACGTCCCTCGTGTGCCGTGCTAAGTGGCGGCCTTCATAGGTTGCCCGCTCACAAAACGTGCCCCCGAACAGCCAACGTTGAAAGGCTACACGGCGAACCTTTGTCTTTGTTTACATGCGGTGGGTCATAGATGAGAGAATTACCTTGGCCGGGTTCATAAGCGGGCTTGGGACAATATTTAAGCGTCAACACGGTAGGGAAACGTCGGCATTTGACCAGCGTAAGTGGTTCAGTCAATATAAATAAAGCCGCCGCCGCCGCTTTATAGCCGCCCCGTACACTTGATAATTAATTTATAGAGGCAGTCAGACATGCGAATTAAGGAACAATAGGCTATAAACAATGGCAAGGTGGCGCCTTGGCTGGGTTTCTGCGCAAACTATTAACCAGGCGATTGTGAGTTCGATTCCCGGCCACGGCGATAGCATCGGTAAAGCGAAGTGGTCATTTGAAGTGGACCAGCCTGGTGAAGTATGGTCAAACAACCCCGCCACGGTGTTGCGGAGGTATTCGTCCAGCAGTGAATTGACAAAGGGTTTGTGAATTATAAATACTAAATGTTATTGTTGTGGCAATGTTGCATAAGAATTTGTGTACATTATAGGCTCAATTGAAAGCGTGATTTTACGTGTTAAAAGATCTGGTAATTACGGTATTTACGCAAGGGCACTGAAGATACTTGTTATATGCAATTCATGTTTACTTGAGGTGTGGTTGTGGAAACGCAAGTGCAATAATTGATTGTATCATTTAAATCTTTAATTTTGGAGATTATGAACACTTGTCCGTACATAGAGTGAGATTGCAATACAATACGTACAGACTGACTAACTTAATTCGAATGGTGTTCTAGAAGGGACTACACATCTGAAGTTTGGCACGAAATATAGTGGAACGTCGAGGCGCTTACAGCTGTGTAAAACCAAACAACATTTCCTACACTGACTTAAAGCTTCCGTGACTGCAGGAAATCATATTATTTGCGTCTTTCGGTAAAGCCACTTAGATAGAAAAAAAATTACGACGTTGCAATCGCAACACAAACAATCGTCATTTTTCACCTGATGACGATTGCTTGTGTTACGATCAAAACGTCGTGATATTTGTATTATTTGTTCTATCTACATGGCTTTACCAAAAGACCCAAAGAATAGGAATTCCTATATTGAGCCCCAAAAAATGACGGCGTGCGTGTCGACGAGATCTACTTATAGGGTTAGGGTTATCCTAAAAGTCTCCAGGCGTTAAACATTCACACGTATCGAGCCCACCTCTCCCTCCCACACACCCGTAATCAGTGAACCGAGTAATTCGCCTCCAGCGGAGTGTGACGTTCACGCAAATAGAAAGCAGCTATGTAGATCCCGCTACCAGTGAGTTACTTGAGTCACATGCCGCGTAAGTCATTCAGAATATCCCCATGCAAGAAGAGCGATAATAAAAAACACACCACGTGTTGACATTTCCAAATGTCTGCGCGCGGTACCGAAAACCCTCCCGTAACGCACGCGGACGATGAGCTCAAATGTTTCGTTACTTTAAGAACTTTTTTTTTGCACGCTAAGTGGGGACTGCGTTTGAGAGCGTTGCACGAGTACACAACTCTCTCTCTCCCTCTGTCAGGCCAATCCCATAACGGAGCCTCCGGG